CAGCTGGTCAAGAGGAATTCGCCGTCGTCTTCTGGTGGAACCGACCTTCGAATCTCTTCACCAGACACTTCTCGAAATGGAAGTAAGCCCAACAATTATGAAACAAGAGATTCCTCGAAACCCAACTTTTCTTCGTATATTTTTACAAATACAGAAGGTCTGGCTATATATATAAGCAAAGCTGCGGTCCCAGCTTCATTTCCGGCTTAATTTTGCATTGGAATTAGCTGGTAGAGCTCGAATAGGCCTCAGCTTGAGAAGAAAATGGTCCATTCTGTAGGTATTTTTTGTGACAATTTAGTTGCCTTGTGAATAAAGGAACTGATGTGTGGAATCATTTGTCTTTTAAGGTCGCCGTACAGATAGATGAGCGTTGCACTCGATATGAAATATGTTTCTCAGACGGTGACGTAACAACCGCTTCAGGAGCCTGTTGAGGTTGAGGTGGGCGGATTTCTTGGGAAAAAATTGCATTTCGAAGGATAACTTGGCCGGAAGTAATTCGTGAAATGATCTCATCGGTAAGTGAAGAAGTATTGACTGGCGTGGCAAAAGGACCGTTCGGTTATGCGAACAAGTCCTCGGCTCATCGTCCTGCGACCCCACGATGAACTTATGCTAACCTTTCGTATGTACCGCTGCGACAGATATTTCCCCTTATCCTGTAACTAAGTATTGAGATGTAATTATTATTTATTAATCTTAAGGAGTAATTATTAAGAACAATATATTCCTCAATCTACCAAATTATGGAATGCTTCATTAAGATCGCAATGATAAGTGCTTTGTATATTTTTTGCTCTATTTCGTAAAGTATGAATTCTTTTTCTGAGGTTGTATGTCATGGGGATACAGATGAAAGTTTGGCACAAATTCATCAGGGTCGCGGGACAGTGTGCCGAGTAACTTTTCGCACAATTTATCAGACTTCACTCCGCGGCAAAGCTGTTTTTGTTTCCGGGGCGACTATATCACTAATAACTTCAAACTAACTTTTTATTCGAAATGCAAATTTCCGTAGGAATAAATAACTAAGGAATTCTTAGAAATACAGTTTTTCTTCATATCTTCGGATGGATTACGCTATTTTTTCATTGTCTTGCCTGTGCATTGATCACAAACATGGTACAATGTATCCGTTGCTAGACTAAGATTGCCTGACCACGTGAGTGAATACTCTTTATGTGTACTTTCTCCACTATTTAAGCACAACGGATATGCCAAGGATAAACGCTTAGGACAAACGACAAGGCCACACAGAAAATTCGCAGTTTTGTGCGACCATGTTTGGGTGAACATGACGCAAAACGGATGGCGAGTCCTATCCTCAAATCGGTTTGTCCTAATGCCTTGTTCAGGAGAGCTATTTTGCATCAGACTGCAAATGTGCAATACGCAACGAAAGCGAAATGAGGCAACCTGAATCTGCTCGTGGGGAGATCAAGCCCAGTTTCTGAACTGACTGTGTCTATATCTTTTCAGTTGTTCGGCTTCTCGGCAACTGTTGAGCATTTAATTGACGAACCGCAGCGTCATGATTGAGCTTAACTTATGATTCACCATTTTTGCGAACTCGTGATTACCCCAGAATACTGCTTGGGTTTTGAAACTATCCCTAAATGACACATAATTATGAGGATACACCTTAGTTGACTATGTTTTGACTGGTCACTTGTTGATCGGTACACAATACACTGAAGAAGAGGCCTAATTTCATGTATTCATGGAGAGTTGCTGGAGCACCATTCTTACACCATCATTCCTCTGCATCAAGATTGTTAGCACTTTTTCAACAAGCCATTCGCTAATGTATTATTTTCAAAATAGTTGGTGCTACTTCTCTTGTTCTTGCTGTGAGAGCCCTCAGTGTTTCGCCCTGTGTTCAGCAGAATAACTTCCAAATTACATTGATGTAATATATTATATTTATGTATATATAATATTACATACATTATATTGTCTATATATTTGTTTATATATATATATATATATAAGTATTGGGCGTAGATACCAAGTCGTTTGCATAAATCCGCATTTTTTAAGGTTTACTTAATATTTGAATAATTTGCTTTTATGTCTTGCATTTTAAGAGTCCCGTGCCTTCGTCAACGAGGTGGAGCTTCGCGCCAACGAGGTGCCCAATCTAGACGATGAAGAGTCCATCGTCTCTGGCCTCACCTGCATTGGTCTGGTAGGTATCGAGGATCCTGTTCGTCCTGAAGTGCCCGCCGCCATTCGTAAATGCCAGAGGGCCGGCATTGTTGTGCGCATGGTGACCGGGGACAATGTGAACACGGCACGCTCAATCGCCATCAAGTGTGGCATCGTGCGGCCCAACGACAATTTCCTCGTGATGGAGGGAAAGGAGTTCAATCAGCGTGTCCGTGATCCGAACACCGGACGCATTCGGCAGGAGTTGATTGACAAAATCTGGCCAAATCTGCGTGTACTGGCTCGCTCGTCACCGCAGGACAAGTACACTCTTGTCTCGGGTATCATCGACAGCCACTTGACGTCGTCGCGTGAGGTCGTCGCGGTTACTGGCGACGGTACTAACGACGGCCCAGCCCTAAAGAAGGCAGACGTAGGCTTTGCTATGGGAATCGCAGGCACCGATGTCGCTAAGGAGGCCTCTGACATCATCCTCACCGACGACAACTTCACCAGCATCGTCAAGGCAGTGATGTGGGGCCGCAATGTCTACGATTCAATCGCCAAGTTCCTCCAATTTCAGCTGACCGTCAATGCAGTGGCCGTGATTGTAGCTTTTTTGGGCGCTTGTTTCATTACGGTGCGCATCATTTTGGCTTCGACTGTCAATTAAATTTGGAAAATTCTTTTGCAATTTTGCGAAATTTATTCTTGAATTTTTGTTTTTCATTTTTCCCTACCAGCTTTGATTATCAAAATGCCCTTAAACCTCAATTTTGATTAAACATAGTCCTCTAAACGCCTAACTATTCACGAAGTTGAGCAGAGTAAATAATAATATTCTTTCGTTTCTCATTGCTTGATTGGATAGTGGTTTTATTTTATTCGCCCATCCTGGTGAATACGTAGAATGCAACTGAGCCATACTTAAAATTAGGGCAACTAACTTACTCTGGTGATTATGACGACTCTAACAGTAATACTTCCTGATTGACGGGCCAACCGTTGGCAACCGCTCACTTACAGAGAAACTGTAATCTCTAGTATAGTATTTGTCACCTCAGGAGGTTTTACTATTCTATAGAATACTGTCATCCCATTCTGCATCCCTCCTGTCAGTTTAAGCTTTTGACCTCTTGTACAACTTAATTAAATAAATAAAGTAGGATTATATATGAGAAATCTATTTCCTTCATGCAGACAAGTCTAAAAGGCACTTAACATCTCAGTTTTGCCCTTTAAAACAAAATGAAAGGTACCCCAGCATCAATCTATTAAATGATTCTTCGAAACGTAGTTTCATCTAATTTTCTGCAGAATAGTTAAGCATTGAAACTTATGCTTCACTTCTCATCGCAGCAGTTAAGCATTCGCCAACCTAATGTAATGTAGTTGCAAAACTCTCCTCCAGTTGGCCATCGGTTTCGCGAAGAAGAACTGATTTAACTGGCAAAGGATATGTAAGTTATCCTCCTCGGGCTAAACAAATTATTTTGTGGCGATTATTCTTTTTGTCGTACTCTATCCTTCCTCAATCGGATCACAACGGTGTCTTTTTCTACTGTCCTATATGGACAGTTTGACATGTTGAAGCTTTGGTAAGATATTTGCCACAGCTTTACTCAGAAAGAAAACCTATAACGGATTACTAATTGGTTGGATTTAAGCTATTCTGCACTGTTACAAAGCATGTTACTCTCAGCACAAACAAGCCTACACTTTTCTATGTGAGAATGCCATTTTAGTCGTGAAATCCATGTCCACTTCATTTACCGACTGACTTTTAGCGATTGAGGCTCCTGCCTAAAACTCTCAATGACTGTGATTATTACGAATAGCAAACCCCAACAGTCTTAAAGTAACTATGCTTTCTTGTGGGAAGCACCCCTTTTACCTTGTTCGCATGATTGTCGGATCATAGTTCATACTAACCATTCAATATATTTTTTGGCAATGACTCTTGAGCTAGCTCTTTTTTTCACCACGTTTGGACTCTGCTCAAATAAGCCCTGAAACACAAAGGTCTTTATTCGATTTGGTCTTGCTAACTGCTTGTTCAAAGTTCAAGGCCCCACGCATGCAGGCACTTGTATTAGTTTTCATCATGGATGGCTTTTCATTCAAATTTCGTATGGCTCCAATTAAAACTGATATTTTCTGTGATGTTACTTTTTAGAATCCGATAAAAAGGGTCATTGTGAAGATGGCTATCTCACTGTTCATGTATTTCTTTTTTCGCTTTTGAGCAGGTTTACGAGTCATTTTGTCTTTTTCGTTCACCTTTTTTGGCCATTTGATCTGTCTGTTGTAGAAGATGCTCTCGATTATTGAGTTAATGTTAACAGCATCCTAAGGTTGAAGGATCCCTTGTACACAATTGACAGCATTTACGCGATTTTCATCAGTAGCCTAGTACAGGGTGTGAATATTGCCTGCAGCCTTTTCTCTTTTCATTTGTGAAATCGCTTTCAGAGCCTAGCTTTTCCTAATTTGTCTTTTTGTCAATGCAATCATTCTGACTAAGTAATTCAAAGAGATTAAATTGAATAATAAGATAAAAGATAAATGCTGCTATATAGTTTTCAGTTTTCGTAGGGACATTGCGATTGAGGGATCGAACCGAACTGGGTCACAGTTTTTGGTCTATTTTGCCAAAATTCAATTGTCTATGATTCGACTTTTCCTCCTGAACGAAACGTTGGTTAGGAGGGATTTGCAAATTGGCCTCACCAGAACCTGAAGGGGGAGGATTTCCTTGAAGTGATGAACGTTTTTGGCTCACGGTGCTGTGACTTAGATGCATCCCTGCTGAACCTTTGTCTCTCCTACCCTGGCAGACTTCGTTAAAGAGTGCATCAGGTTTCGCAGGTCTGTTGTCCTAGCACTCATTTGCATGAAACATCGTTCACCACTTCATGACAATCATCCTCATTTGGGTCCCGGTGGGGCCAGTTCACGAATCCCTACCAACTAAGTTTTGCCTTGGAATAAAGAGAGTCTACTTACAGAAAGTAATTTAAGGATCTTTAAATTCTTTTTCTTCAAACTAATTTCTATCTCAGATCACATAATGTCCACTAATTTGCATTTTCGCCTCTCCGTCCTTTGCTTTCGATGAGGCCTCTCGATTATGTCTTGGTTAGTTTACCAACAAAATTGTATTGGGCCACGTAATTGGCCAATATATAAAAGGGAATGAATAAGATCGCTACTTGCCTGAAGTTTAAGGGTCTTTTGTTTGTGAAAATATAAAATACAACCGTCAAATTTTTCAGAGAAAAATCTGAATTCGAGGAATTATCATAAAGTTGGTGTGCATGACAAGTGATTATTCTACTGATTTCGCACCAAAAACATTGTACTCTGTAGCACCATGGAAAAGCCAATCGCCACCAGTTTATGAGTTCAACATCCCCTTTAATCAATCACCTTAGCGACCGAACCAGACCTATTCATCTTGCCAATAGGATGTATTATTCTGTCGTCGATTTAAGAACTCTCCGATTGATTTTGACTTGTACAAAAAGGTATAATTAATTTTATTTCCGCCTTAACAAAAGTGAAAGTTTTTTCCTAGAGCTTGGCCGAATTTTAATAGTTGGCTCCTAATTTCTGTTGTGTTCATTTTGGGGAATTGTGAAATGTCACAATGTCAAGTTGTCTTAAGTACATGTACAGAACATGGCTGACGACGGCTAGAACGAAAGCCAGTAGGCGATTGCTTGCATTTTTTGGTTGATACTTGACTTTCATTAATATTTGCTTCCTCTTTCTTATTAATGATAGTGTTCTAAACTTTTTACGATGTTTCTTTAAATGTCTATTTTTTTAGGCAAAATAATCTCAAACATGTGCATTTAATGAGTGCATCAGACAACATAAACTGCATTAATAGGCGAATTAACTTGCCCAATACTCTAATGAAATCTTTTTGAATTTATTAATACTTTTATTTTGGTATCGGAGGCTATAGCTGGGCAGAAGTATGTTGGGCACATACTTTACCTGGTCTTTAAATGGGCGGCGAACTTTGGTTATGCCGGACAGTGTTGAAATTGCGCTGAGGAATTCGTATTTAAACTAATTATGAATTTTTTCTGATAATTTGATTAAATGGCTATTCGCTTGCACGGTCTGGCACAATTATTCGAACTTGTCTTGGTTTTCGTTCATCCAAGCTCTGCTGACGGTTTCTCCATGTTTACCTCTCATTCACACCCTCAGGTGAGATTCAAATCCGGCGTATGCTGGTGCCTGGGGAGTCACGGTATCCACTAAATCACATCCTCTTGACGTATATACGAGGCAAGCCAAGCAATTCCCTCTCAACTGCTATTTTAGATGGACTATAATGATAAGATAGACTTGCATCTTTAAACTTACTTACTAGTAGTATGGAGCAGATGGTTACGGATCGGTGTCGAAACTACAGTTTGTTACTAGGGCAAAACTTTGTGTTCTTAGTCTAGGCAACTTGGCTATCGGGCGCTGAGGCACACGGCAACCTGCATTTTCTGGAAAGTTCCATCAGTCCTTCAGTTCATCTGCCTCTAAAGCATGCCCCCGGCTACAATTCGGTTGGGCATTTCTGCTGGATCTGGACGATGTGTAATCCGAAATCAACCTGACACTTTTGATGCGTCAGATCCAGATCTCGTGGTCAAGCTCACTGACATCTCGAAGCTGGATTGCTAAGATGGCGGTTGCCAACGGACTTTGAACCTCTGAAAGGGTGAGGCTAACTCTGAAGGTTCGCTTAGCCTTGAAAAACATTTTCGGTGTAGATGGACTATGTCCTTTTTGCCTTTGAAGGGGATAAGCAATTGAAAATCCGTTTCTCGAGGCTAGACTCCAAATAACTAACCACTTCACCTACCTTGGCAGAATAATTT